TATTATTATTATTATTATTATTATTATTATTATTATTATTATTATTATTATTTTCATCACTATCACTTATCATACCCCCGCCCTCTCTTGACGTACCCCGCCCCCTCTTGACGTACCCCCGCCCCCCTCTTGACGTACCCCTGCCCCCCTCGACATGCCCAGACCAAGACTGACACAGCAGCAGCAGCAGGAAGTAAACACAAGGACTACTTTCACGTTCTCTCTCTCTTTTTCACCTGCAGTAAGAGGCAGGTAAAGACCAATTGGCTTTTATTAGTAAACAACATCGTGATGAAACCTATCAGTTAGTGAGGTCACCTGTGTGTGTGTGTGTGTGTGTGTGTGGGTGTGTGTGTGTGTGGGGGGGGGTGTGGTCGTGATATCTTGGAGACATATATGTATAAAAAGCTTTACAATTAACGTTCATACAATAATATAAATGTTGTAGTGCATTGTTTCAAGTCTGTCAGAGTGTGTGGGAGGGGCGAGGGGGCGTGTTCTGCCAGCCTCCACCACGCCCTTCCCTGGCACACAGCTGGTGAAGACCCTTGTCAAGGAGGTCCACTCACCTAACCTACGTGTGAGCAAAGTAAAAAAAAAAGGACAAAGTTGTTATAACTTATTAAGGAAAAGGCCATATATCGCTCTCTCTCACACACGTCACGACTTGTAGCTATGATCTTTATCACCGCAAGTTTAGTTTCACCCCAGCATAGATCATCTGCTTGGTGACTTTTTTCAGTGGTCACAAGTAAAGGGCGTGTGTCGCGGTAGGTCTAACAGCAGTAACTACCTCATTCATTTTTGGAGCAACAGCGGCGGAGAGTTGTACCAAACCTCTGACCTATGACGGGGACCAGCACAGTTGTCGGCCCCGGGTTGGTTAAAGTTCAGAGCTGGCGTAGCGCGGTAAGCGGACACTCACACTCACTCACTGAGGGAGTGGCTGGCCAGTTGTGGTGTGTGTTGGTGTGACAGTCGGACGCAGACTCTCAGGACCACATGACACACCACCAGTGTTATTTATCGGTTTGTGGAGAAGTGATCCTCTCCCCGCGCCCCCCACCACACCTCAACTACAGTGACAATTAAACCCTCGTCTACAGTGACTTAACCTAACCAGCGGTACTACAGTGTCGATATAATAGTTCATACACTTTACCTCATCTGCCAGTGAATGTCTCCCTGGCTGAGGCACTTGTCCACTTCTTCCTCCTGGCAAGTGTGTGAGTGAAGGTGTCAGTCCATCAACCAGTACCGCAGTGTTAAGACGTGTCCACCACAGTAGTTGACGAGTGTGTAGTGTGTCCAGTGGCTCCCCCGTAGTGGCCTGCAAGTGGGATATAAAAGTGACAGTGAGTTATGTTTACAGCCTCCGTGCACCACCTCGTCAGTAGCTAAGGAACTCTGAGCCACAGCTACGAGGAGGCAATGTGTGATGGTGATAAGTGGTAAAATATTCGATAATAAAGAGTGACGAAAACTTAACGTGTGTGTGTGTGTGTGTGTGTGTGTGTGTGACCGATGAAAGTGAAACTGAACGATGCAATCTCAAACAACCTTGAAATTCCAAACACGTAGCCTTAATAATAATAATACTGATAATAATAATTCTACATCTCCCTTGATCTTTCTCTCTCTCTCTATCTCTCTAACTATCTCTCTATCTATCTCTCTGTCTCTCTCACCTTATATCTGGGTTGAGAGATCGTGACTGTCTTAACATTTCGGATCACAACGAAGCCTTACGACATCTTTCCCGCATCTCGCTGCATGACTCGACAGATATACAAAGTCGATGTGATATTTCGTAACTAGAGTGGACCTGAGACACATTCAGACATAACAGAGTGGACCTGAGACACATATTGAGACATATTAATCAATTCGGATATAACGGATGGTTAGTAATCTTAGTTTTCTTCAAGATTAATTAATTAGATCACCTGAAAGTTACATACCTTAATTAATTTCACCTGAAGATTAACCATCCTAACGCTACCTCGGGGTTAGGTTAGGTTAGGTTAGGTTAGGTGGTTAACTTTTAATGATTAGGTTAATGTTAGTAAATAGTGGGTGGCAGACGGCAGGTATCATGGGTGGCAGATTACAGGTAACACAGGTTGGTAATGGGTAACAGACGACAGGTAAAAATATCAGCAAAAACATTTCTCAAGGCTTTTGTGTGTGTGTCCGGCACTACACACACACACACACACACACACACACACACACACACACACACACACACACACACACGTTCTGTTCTTATAATCATCTCAATCATACATCAATAAATAATCCCAAATCATTCTGTAGTTAGCATCAGTGACCACCTGTAGATGAGGGGTGGGTGGGGGGTAGTAGGAAGTGGGATAGAGAGATGGGAGGGTTGAGTATGGGAGGGGGAGGAAGGGGTGGGAGGGAAGGGGTATGGTTTAAGTGAACATGTGGCTTAAGTGATTAGTTAACTGTCGTTTCGCTTAATGTTACTCGTTGTGGGTCATCAGATGCCATTAGGTGTGTGACGTGAACTAATTAAATCGACTTCTTAGACCGGATACCACTTCTTCTTCTTCTTCTTCTTCTTCTTCTTCTTTTTACTCTTCTCTTCCTCTTTCTCCTTCACCTTTTACCTCCTCTTTCTCTTCCTCTTCCTCCAACACCTTCTCTTACCCCTTCCCTCTACTCTCTCTCCTCCCTCCCTCTCTCCTCCTCCCCCTCTCTCTCCTCCTCCCCCCTCCCTCTCTCCTCCTCCCCTCTCCTCCTTCGCCTTGCTTATCATGACACTTTCAGTTGATTTTTTTTGTACGGGTTGTGTAAGAGTCTGAGTCACTCTCGCTCTCAATCTCTCTTTATTCTCTCTCTCTCTCTCTCTCGCACACACACACACAATACAGGCATTAGCATCGTAAGGTCAGTGGTATAACTCTAGGCGATTGCCGCTAAAAAGTGCCAACCAGAGTGCCAATTAAAGGTCAGTGCAGTGGGTGGTGCCTTAAAACAGGTCATCACCACTCACCACCACACTCAGGTCATCACCACTCACCACCACACTTCACCACCATTCACTCATAACCTAACCTAACCTAACCTAACCTAACCTAACCTAACCTAGTATTTTATGAAGACAATTTATTAAGTCAATTCCTCAGTTTATCAAGCCGGTATCATCAAGCCATTTTATCAAGTCAGTTTACTAAGTCAGCTTCTCAAACGTGTTCTTACAGCAACGAGGAAGCCAGACTCACTAACCTTCAACAACATGTAAAGTTAAACTGAGAGAAGATACGTTTATTTCCCTGTGAAAGTGAAACTAGATGAGGTTAGGTTAGGTTGGGTTAGGTTAGGTTAGGTTGGGTTAGAAAAGGCCTCCCACCCCCTTAGAGACGGTGTGGATATAGTACACTGGAGGCGAATATCGAACCAGGAACCCTTTGTACAGGAGGCGAGTGTTGTGTCTACTTAACCACACGTGAGGGAAAAACCCGAACTACGAATCTTGTCCAGGGTGATCCAAAAGTCCCTGTGCACCTGGTATAAATAACACTAGAGTTCTTTTTTTGTTATATCTACTTTGTTATAAACCTTTGTTCTATTTACACTTAATATTAGAAATGTTCATAGTCAATTTTAGAAGTTTATTATCATTTTCAACCCTCACTGTATATAGAAAAAAGTATATAATTATGTAGATATTAACAAGGAGGAACAATAGAGTTTTTTATACCAGGTGCACAGGAACTTTTTGATCACTTCTTATACTTTTTTTTTATGTATCTCTAGGAATTACGTTTTGTTTTTTCCTCGTCCCACGGTATATCGGGTCTGTCGGGTCTGTCTGTCGGTCTGTCGGTGGTCAGAAGCTAAATAAGGAACCTCAAGAACTTACCTGCACTTTAATTTAATGGCATTTACCTGACAAAAAAAAAATTAAAAATCCGCTTCAAATGTTTTCATAATGCTTCAAAATCTCTCCTTCGACCGACACCTTATTGAGCGATGCATTATGGGTATATGTATCGGTCACTGTGTGTTTAGGGTGTGTTCATGGACCCCAGAACTCCCCCCCCCACCCCCATCCCCCACACAGGACCCCCACCATTACCCCCCCCCTCCCTCCACACCTGTGACATAAAAACCCAGGTGAGCTCATTAGTCCCCAGGTAAACCATGACATCACTACACGCCTAAAAGCATCATTGTACAGGTTAACTTCTTGTGGTCTATATAAAACATAAAATATTTATAATTCAGGCGATAAAAAAAAAAAATTGCTGCGCGTTGAGCAGTCGTGAGCCAATAACATTCTTGAGGTATTGTAGTTAGCTGAGTCGCAATAGTTACTTCGTCAGCGTTCCTTCTGCAGGTGTGGTGCTAGAGGTTAGGTGTACACGACAGGTGGAGGATGTACAAGACGGTCATTCAGAATTAGGGTGTCTAATCTTCAGGTGAATTAAACTGGGGTGATTAATCTTCAGGTAATACCTCTAACAGTATCTATCACACGAAGGTCAAAACTACAAGATTCCACAAAACAAAAAAACTAGTTTAACTTCTATAAACGCGAGGTGGTGGCGCCATCTGTGGGTTGGATTATCATTAGTTTGGGCAGGGAGATGCATTTACGGTCACTAATGTTAAGTTTCGCTTCTCTTAACTGACATCTCTCACCCTGGGCTGTAGCATTGCTCTTGTTTAGAATTGGTGATGATTTTACTTTAACCTAACCTAACCTAACCTAACCTAACCTAACCTAACCTAACCTAACCTAAAAAAACACTCAAAACATCAAGTATCAGTTTCACCAGCAACATGTCTTGTGGGTTGAGTCTATGTCACCACACAAACGCCCACAGCTATGAACTAACCTTTAAGAAACACTCATTACTACCTCGTGTTAATTACCCTCAAGAAACCATTAAATATTGCTCAAAATCAATCTAGGATCAAGGTTACTGTGTGTGTGGGAGGAACCAGGGCACGGTGGGTGGTGAAAGCTATTACATGGTGTTCTACTTGTTGTTTATATATTCGTGTTAGGTTAAGTTAGGTTAGGTTAGGTTAGGTTAGGTTAGGTTAGTGTGTGTGTGTGTGTGTGTGTGTGTGTTGCAGTAAGACTCTTGATATATACAGGATTCGTGTTTTTACTTGACCAAATTTTAGTTCAGATATCAAGTGTTACTGAGGACGTACACACACACACACACACACACACACACACACACACACACACACACACACACACAGGGCAGGTATATATTAAGGAGGAAAAATAATCGTCCCTGTAATATTATCTCACGTTAATATGTATTTGCTTAGTTCTTATGTGTGATTCTCTTAACAGTGTTGATCTGCTGTTGTTTGTGATATACTATACATGAACTTGGCTTCAGCTAAAGACGAAACTCTGAAAATGTAAACAGTGATCAGAACACACCTGCAGTGATCAGAACACACCTGCAGTGATCAGAACACACCTGCTGTGATCAGAACACACCTGCTGTGATCAGAACACACCTGCTGTGATCCAAACACACCTTCAGTGATCAGAACACACCTGCAGTGATCCGAACACACCTGCTGTGATCCGAACATACCTGCAGTGATCCGAACACACCTGCAGTGATCCGAACACACCTGCAGTGATCAGAACACACCTGCAGTAATCCTAACACACCTGCAGTGATCGGAACACACGTGCAGAGGAACGCTTCATGAGTGAGAGTGATGGACGTAAGTGAGATGTTAAATAGGTGTTGCCCAAGAGGAGTCAGGAGTGAAGGACCTCAGTAGTGTGAGGGAGAGTAGTGAGGGAGAGTTGGTGAGGGAGAGTAGTGAGGGAGAGTAGTGAGGGAGGGATGTGAGTCCTCTCTCAGTTGACAACAACACCACCAGCGCCTCCAGGAAGGTAATGGGTCGGGGATGTCGTTGCCAGACTCCTCGTCCTGCCACCACTGCCACATCCACGCCCCCATCCCCGCCAGGGACCTCAAGCGGACACATCCCCTCAGGACAAACTTCGTTGAAAAAGTCGAAGATGTTCCCGCGACACAGAACAACGTGCCGCCTAAAAGCAGCTTCAAGAAGAACGTGTCCTTCCTCTACAGGAAGATAAACAAGAGGGGCAATAAAAATATAGCAAAAGGAAGTCAGACTAATGTGTCCATCCCAATACCTCCTCCTCCTCCTCCCTCAGCAGTGGTCGATGGCCGCCCTGCGGTAGTTGTTGACTCTCTGCCCTTAACAGTCAGACAGGGTCAAAGGTCAGTAGTACCTCTCACAAGAAGACAGCGGCGTCGAGGCCGAGGCCTGGCAGGACTGCAGGCAGTTTTGCTTGTCGGTGCCTACGCCCTACTGGTAAGACAGCTCACGGTCAACACCTCCCGCATTATGTAAACAAACTATTTTTTTCTATAAATTATTTCAGGTAGTTGGTGCAGATGTAAACAAATGTTCTAATGAGTTATTTTTTGTTTGGTTGACAGTTAGTGCTGGCCGTGGTGATCGGCGTCGTCCTCAGCCAGGGTTCTCCCCTTCGGCAGCGTCGGGTTCAAAACTTTGCACAACCACGCCGTCCCGTCTTCAATGATGCCTCTCTTGCTCCAGTCAGGGCGAGCCGCCCTCGCTTCGCTGATTCCCCCAGGGGAGGTGGACGCTTTCCTCAGCCGATTCCCGCTCCTCGTGCATCTGTCGCACCTCGTCCACCACCAACCACCACCGCAGCGCCGGACTACGATTTTGATTATTACGACAACACCCAAGACGTGGTGCTCCTCCCTAACCCCGTAACCGCGCCTCGCCCTTCCTTTGCTCCACAACCTTCATCGTTCAGACCAGCACAGGCAACCAGCGACCCGAGGCGTCCTTCATCACAGGCTCCCCGCAGGACCACTGTGCCGCTGGCTAACATCGACACTGACTTCAGCCTTCGTGATGAACAACCAATTCGCGGCCGTAAGGAGCCTGCGGTAAAGATCCTGAGGTCTTGGTCTCACCAGAACGCCGACGGCACGTTCTCCTGGGGCTACGAGAACGACGACGGCTCCTACAAGAACGAAACCCGCGGCCTGGACTGTGTGGTGCGCGGCGTGTACGGCTACATCGATAAGGAGACTGGCGAGACTCTCTCCTTCCCCTACGAGTCCGGCAACCCTTGTGACCCTGACGCCCCCTCCGACTATTTCTACGACTACGACGCCAACACCATGCAGGGCTTTGCTCAGACTCAGGTCCCGAGTCAACCTAGAGCTAACCCTAGACCCCAACAACCACGCCAGGGTTGACCGCCGTCACCGCCCCTTACAGGAAGCATGACGGCCTCCCCTTCCTCTTACTTTTAGCCTAAGATAACTCTCTACTGGTGCGGGTCACAGCTCCAGGGTGTGGTAGAGGCTCTTCTCACTACACCTGTCCTGCACTGTCCTGTCAACTGTTGATGGATATATTACCTGTATATTTATCGTCCGTTATACCTTCACAATAAAGTGTAATTGTATATATTGTGTGTTAATGCCATCCACTGTGTGCGCACCTCCATTAGGACACCTCCATTAGGATACCTCCTGGACACCTCCATTAGGACACTACATTAGGACACCTTCATTAAGACACTCATTGGGACACCTCCATTAAGACACCTTCATTGGGACACCTCCATTAGGACAACTCCGTTGGGACACTCCATTGGGACACCTCCAATAGAACTGCCTCCATTAGGAAACCTCATTAGAACACCTCCATTGGACACTCATTAGCACACCTCCATTAAGACACTCATTAGACACCTCCATTAAGACAATTAAGACACCTCCATTAAGACACCTCCATTAGGACACCTCCATTAGGACACCTCCATTAGGACACCTCCATTAAGACACCTCCATTAGGACACCTCCATTAGGACACCTCCATTAGGACACCTCCAATAGGACACCTCCATTAGGACACCTCCATTAAGACACCTCCATTAGGACACCTCCATTAAGACACCTCCATTAAGACACCTCCATTAAGACACCTCCATTAAGACATATTGAGATAAAAATGGCCCATTATAACTTGTCCAGGGCTAAAGTTATATTAAAATAAAAAAAAAGTCCCAGATGAAAATGTCAATCATCAACATAATGTATTAAAATACTACAATAATAATGATGATGACGATGATGATAATAATGATGATGATGACCAGGTTTCTCACAATTGTTCATCTTTTAGTCTCAGCTGGATGAGACGTCGAGCACACACACAAAAATAATACAAATTATCACTATCCTTAAAGGTTTACTCCAAGGTAAGTTTCTCTGGACACATTTGCCCTTATATGTTGAAGGTATTTGCCCTGTGGCTGACGGGGTGAAGTACTGTGTGTCTCCGCGGCTCTACACAAGCTTTTTCTCTAACACGTAATCACCTTGATGTCTGCCTGAATTAATGTGTCTCTCAGGTGTAGTGAGGAGAGAGAGAGAGAGCCATCACCTTCCCTCCCTCCCTCACCATCATCAGGAAGGTCGTGTTCCTCACATGTCCTCACCTCCGTCATGCACCACCCTGGCCTGCTGACCCCTCACGAGGCCAGGACACGCCCACCACCACGCCCACCACCTCCTCCTCCTCCTTCACCGTCCATTTTTCCCTCTCCTTCCTCACTCGTTCTTGACCTGTGATCCTGAGTCGTTCTCGAGGCAAGACAACAGAGGGTCTTTACTCACCCTCTCACCTTACACTAATTAAATGTACAGGTGTGGCCCAGAAGCAAGGTGATCCAGAGGCAAGTATGGTCAAGCAGCGAGGTGGCCCAGCAACAGGTGTGGCCCAGCATTAAGTTTGGCCCAGCAGCAAGGTGTGGCCAAGCAACAGGAGTGGTCAAGCAGCATGGAAACAACATCACGTTTATGCGGTGCGTTAGGGAGGTGGTAGAGGGGGGGGAGGGAGGTGGGTGGGTGAGGGGGGGGAGGAGGTAGGGTGGTAGAGGGGGGAGGAGGTAGGGAGGTGGTAGAGGGGGGGAGGAGGTAGGGTGGGTGGTAGAGGGGGGAGGAGGTGGGTGTAGAGGGGGGGGGAGAGGTGGGTGGTAGTCCATGCCACATAAACAGGTCAGCGAGGCACCGACCGGCATACAAACTATACCATTACTCCACAACAACAACAATAACAACAACAACATTATACTGATCACCTGAAGATTAACCACCCTAACACTACCTGGAGGCTTAGGTTAGGTTAGGTTTCTTTATCTGTCAGTTTACAGTAATCAACAACAAGAGATAAACACCTGTACTCCTCGGCAGACTTGATATCTTAATTTACATACTGACGACAAAGGTGAACCAGGTAAAATGAGGTTGACCAAAATATTAACACATAGAATTATCCTCCGTGTTAATATCAAAGACTTAAAACGAGTTAAAAATATAAATTAACATCAGATATGAACGAGATATATTATGTTAAAAACCAAATTCCCAGATGTTAACTTCCGTAAATCAGTTAAATACAGAAATTAACACCAAAACATCGCAAATCTTTAGAGAATCAACCAATGAAACAGGTGAGATAAGGTCAGACAGGTGTAATAGGTCTCGACAAACACCTCTGAGATGTAACCTAACCCCTAACATACTATGACACGCACACACACACACACACACACACCTGGTGAAAGTGTAGCGTCCTGGGAACTTAGTTATCTTGGTGTACAGTTCTGGTTCAGGTGTTGTAATGGTATAATGCCCGCCTCCCTCTGGGCTCCCGGGGTCACTCACCTGTTTGTGTGTCGAGTGTGACCTTGACCTGTGACCTCTGGAACCCCCAAAATGGTTAGGTTGGGTTAAATGAGACCAACGAGCACCAGGTAAGAGAGCCAACGAGCACCAGGTGAATTATCGAGCACCAGATGAGTTAACGAGCACCAGGTAAGTTAACGAGCACCAGGTGTTTTGTCATGACTGGAACACGTTACGTAAACTTAACAGAGCACAACTGCCCAAACAACACTTACCACACACACACACACACACACACACATCACTCCTCCTGTTACAACACACACATTACTTACACACTCTACTTGAGGGCGAGTGGGGGCGCATGAGTGGGCGGCGGTGTGTGTGTTAGTGGTTGAGTGGGCGGCAAGAAGTGAGGTGGTGTAGTGTAAGAGAAAGGGTTAGGTTAGGTTAGGTTAGGTTAGGTTAGGTTAGGTTAGGTTAGGTTAGAATAGTGAAAATGTTCTGACAGTCATTATCATCATTGAGGGCAGAGAAAGTGGACTCAAAAATACATACATACATACATACATACATACATACATACATACATACATACATACATACATACATACATACATACATACACATAGTTAAGTATTACCAGCACGACAAGAGTCACCCCCTCTCATACACCTAAAACATGGTTGATTATACACCGTCAGGTTGTATAAAAAGAAACCGTTTATATCTTGGTGCTTCAGGAGTGCTTCAGGAGTGTGCTTCAGGATTCCTTCAGGAGTGTGCTTCAGGAGTGTGCTTCAGGAGTGTGCTTCAGGAGTGCTTCAGGGGTGTGCTTCAGGAGTGTGCTTCAGGAGTGCTTCAGGAGTGCTTCAGGGGTGTGATTTGCAGTGCCTGTAGTGCCCAGGAGTGAGTGCTTCAGAGTATCAGGAGTGTATTTCAGGAGTGTGATTTCCAGGAGTGCTTGTGTGCCTTCAGGAGCATTTCAGGAGGTGGTTTCAGGAGGGAGGTATTTAGGAGTGTGATTTCAGGAGGTGCTTCAGGAGGTGCCGGTAAGGATTTTACAGGAGTGCTTGTGTACAGGAGTGAGTTTCAGGAGGTGATTTGAGGGAGTGTGATATTTCAGAGTAGTTTGTGAGTGCTTGTGAGTGATTTCAGGAGTGTAGCTGCAGGAAGTTTCTAGGAGGTATTTCAGAGGTATTTCAGGAGTTTCAGAGTGATTTCAGGAGTACATTTCAAGAGTATTTTAGGAGCAGCTTCAGGAGGTGATTTCCAGGAGTAAGAGTTACTTGTGAGTGCTTCAGGAGTGTGCTTCAGGAGTGTGCTTCAGGAGTGTGCTTCAGGAGTGTGCTTCAGGAGTGTGCTTCAGGAGTGTGCTTCAGTCGCTCTTTGTCTCTTTGTTGTGTGAGGGTCGAGGCCGTGGCTTTGTCTGTGTCTGTAGCTGTGTCTGTAGCTGTGTCTGTAGCTGTGTCTGTATGTCTGTCTGTCTGTCTGTCTGTCTTGAGTCCATTAAAGGCACTTGCACCATCAGCATCTATAAGAGGCAGTAACTGATAAGACCCACGAGTCGCTAAACAAAAACATCTCGTTAATAATTCCTGTACACATCGTTAAAGAAATATATTTACCTTATGTGTGAGATTAAACTTAGTGGTTGTTGAGCAATAGTTAAATTGTCTTTTTTTAATCATCGTGTTTGTTTAATTTAGGATTTGTTTTTCCTCTTCTTTTTTCCTCCTCCTCCTCCTCCTCCTTCTTCTTCCTCCTCCTCCTTTCTCCTCCTCCTCTTCTGTTGCTGCTAGTTGATATACAAGATCAGGGTACGTGTGTGAAGAGGAGAGAGAGAGAGAGGGAGAGAGGGAGAGAGGGAGAGAGAGGAAAAAGAAGAAAGAGGGAGGGAGGGAGGGAGGGAGAAGAAAAGTGAAATGGAAATGAAGAAGGAGAAGGAGAGAGGGATAGAAAGAAGACTTGAAAGAAATAAAGGAGGGCGAAGGAAAAAACAGCGATGGGGAGAAAAGAGCAGTGCCAGCACCACCCACCCACACACACACACACACACACACACACACACCCACCCACCCACCCACACCCACCCACCCACCCACCCACCCCCCACCCACCCCACTCCACCCACCCACCCACCCACCCACCCACCCACCCACCCACCCACCCACCCACCCACCCAGCACCCACCCACCCACCCCACCCACCCACCCACCCACCCCACCCACCCACTCCACCCACCCACCACCCACCCACCCACCCACCCCCACCCACCCACCCCACCCCACCCAACCAACCCACCCAACCCCAACCCAACCCAACCAACCAACCCAACCCCAACCCACCCAACCCACACCATCCAACCCACCCACCCACCCACCCACCCACCCACCCACCAACCCACCCATCCACCCACCCACCCACCCACCCACACACACACACACACACACACACACACACACACACACACACACACACACACACACACACACACACACACACACACACACACACACACACACACACACACACACACACACCCACCCACCCACACACACACACACACACACACCCACACACACACACACACCCACCCACACACACACACACACACACACAACACATCATGCATACAAAAACAACCCATCATTCACCACACAACCTACTAAGGAAAACGACTGTGTTCGAATGTATAGAAAAACACATAATGAACACTTCTCCCTATAAATTAAACTTTCAAATTATCTTCAATATTTACTAACCACGATATAT